TGAAGTCATCAATCTTTATTTATTTATTTTTGTTTTGAGATGGAGTCTTGCTCTGTTGCCCAGGCTGGAGTGCAGTGGTGCTATCTTGGCTCACTGCAACCTCTGCCTCCTGGGTTCTAGTGATAACCCTGCCTCAGCCTCTGGAGTAGCTGGGATTATAGGTACCCACTACCACGCCTGGCTACTTTTTGTATTTTTAGTAGAGACGGGGTTTCACCATGTTGACCAGGCTGGTCTCAAACTGACCTCAAGTGATCTGCCAGTCTTAGCCTCCCAAAGGGCTGGGATTACAGGCGTGAGCTACTGTGTCTGGCCTGGAAGTCCTTCGGAAAGTCAAAAGCCCTTTGCATTATTTTATGGTTATCTTGCCATCCTCCCCTCTCCTGGAGCCTCTGACGGAGCCAGACTGAGAGGCAACCCAGGGGAGCTGCCTGCTCACTGGGAGGCAGCCGCTGTATTTTCTATCAGGCAGCTCTGTCTCTTTGGCAGGTGGGAGCCACATTCCCACATACTAAATTGTTAATAGCTTCCCCAGGGAGTTCCTTTCTGCTCTGACTCCTTCAGTGATTTCTGTTTCTCTCCTGCTGACGCCTTCTGATGCCCTGAGTTGGCCCAGGATTTCCCATCCGTTTTTCTCTTCATTTCTCCCACCTTGAGGTCAGGATATGGACAAGCTCCAAAAACAGCTCAAACTCTTCTGTAACCCAGGTATGGAGGACTGTGTCTACCCTGATCCCCCACAAGAGTGGGGATGAATTCAAGAATCTCCCAAGCTCCAAGTAAATCATTGCCCTCCACCTGGGGGAATCTCTGCTGAACAGGGGCGGATGGAGTATGTTCTTCTGGTGACTTAGTCTTTGTGTTGGGAGGCAGCACAGTCTAGTAGTCAGAAGACTGGGGTTTGGAGTCATGCAGACCTGGCTTGGCATCTTGGTTCTGGCTTGGGCAGGTAAGCTGACCTCTGCAAAACAGAATAATAATAATCCTATATGCTGTGAGGGCTGCTTGGGGATTAAATGAGATAATCCACAAAGCATTTGGCTCAGTGTCTGCCACAGAACATGCTCTTCATAAATGGTAGCCAACGGGGTTGTTAAATGAATTTGTGACCACAGAAATGAGACTGCCTTTTAAAGGTAAGTAGACTAGAAGGCCAGGTGCAGTGGCTCATACCTATAATTCCAGCACTTTGGGAGGCTTGAGCCCCGGAGTTCGAGACCAGCCTGGGCAATGTAGTGAGACACCATCTCTACAAAAAAAGAAATTAAAGGCCGGGTGCAGTGGCTTATGCCTGTAATCCCAGCATTTTGGGAGGCTGAGGTGGGGGGATCACAAGGTCAGGAGTTCAAGGTCAGCCTTGCCAAGATAATGAAACCCTGTCTCTACTAACAATACAAAAAAATTAGCTGGGTGTAGTGTTGGGTGCCTGTAATCCCAGCTACTCTGGAGGCTGAGGCGGAGGTTGCAGTGAGCCAAGAGCACCCCACTGCACTCCAACCTGGGCGACAGAGCAAGAAACCATCACAAAAAAAATTTTTTTTTTTTTTTTATTAGCTGGGTGTGGTGGTGCATGCCTGTGGTCCTAACAGCTGGGGAGGCTTAGGTGGGAGGATCATTTGATCCTGGAAGGTAGAGGCTGCATAAACTAGAATGTTTACACCCATGTAAGAATTGATCATTTCCAAGTTTTCACTTCATTTTAGAGGTCATTGTGGAAATCTCTTTAGAAGCCTTTGAATTTCCATTTGTTCTTCCAATGTCCTGAATGGGGCAATTCACTTGCACTTGGCATGTATGTTTTCTTAGCAATCATTTCACTCAGGTACTTGGTCATTTACATATCTTTCACAACTTCTTTTTTTTTTTTAATGCAGTTTCGATCTTGTTGCCCAGGCTGGAGTGCAGTGGAGTGATCTTGGCTCACTGCAACCTCCGCCTCCCAGGTTCAAGCCATTCTCCTGCCTCAGCCTCCCAAGTAGCTGGGATTACAGGCATACACCACCATGCCCAGCTTTTTTTTTTTTTTTTTTTTTTTTTGTATTTTTGGTAGAGATGGGGTTTCACCATGTTGGTCAGGCTGGTCTTGAACTCCTGACATCAGGTGATCCACCTGCCTTGGCCTCCCAATGTGTTGGGATTACAGGCGTGAGCCACCATTCCCAGTCCTCCGTCACAACTTCGTGATTGTGAACTTCTTTAAGAAAAAAAAAATTGCAAAATAACCAAAATTGGAACTGAGCTTTTTTATTCAGCCACTCATCAAGTGAGCACCTGTGTGTCAGGGCCTGCACTAAGGAGGGCACAGAAATGCACAAGATCTTTTAATGTTTTTTTCAACTTTTTAAAAATTTTTCTTTTTGTCAACTTTTTTTTTTGAGACAGGGTCTTGCTGTCACCCAGGCTGTAGTGCAGGGGCATGATCTTGGCTCACTGCAGCCTCTACTTTTGAGGTTCAAATGATCCTCCCACCTCAGTCTCCCAAGTAGTTGGGACTAGGGCACACACCACTATGCCCGGCTAATTTCTGTATTTTATTTTATTTTTTTTGTAGAGACAGGGTTTTGCCATGTTGCCCAGGCTGGTTTCAAATTCATAGGCTCAAGTGATCTGCCTGCCTCAGCCTCCCAAAGTGTTGGGATTACAGGTGTGCGCCACCATGCCCAGTCTTTTTCAATTTGTTATGTAGATCTAGGGGTTCATGTGCAGGTTTGCTACCTGGGTATGTTGTGTGATGCTGTGGTTTGGGGTATTAATGATCTTGTCAACTCAGTTATTGAGGGCAGTACTTAGTGGTTAGTTTTACACAAGACTTTTGTATGTGAAGGTGATGCACAAAAAATCCAATGATACAAATACATACGTGGGAAACTGTTAATATGTAAAGAAGAGGTACATGATGCTACCAGATGATAAAGAGAGCCGGGCTAGTTGGAGGTGGGGTGGGGAATCAGTGAAGGTTTCACAAAGCAAGTGATATTTAAGCTGAAACTTGAGGGATAAATAATGCTTAGGGCCAGGTGCAATGGCTCATGCCTGTAATCCCAGCACTTTGGGAGGCCGAGGCATGTGGATCATGAGGTCAGGAGCTCGAGACTAGCCTGGCCAAGATGGTGAAACCCCATCTCTACTAAAAATACAAAAATTAGCCAGGCATGGTGGCGGGTGCTTGTAATCCAAGCTACTTGGGAGGCCGAGACAGAGAATTGCTTAAATCAGGAAGGTGGATGTTGCAGTGAGCCAAGATCCTGCCACTGCACTCCAGACTGGGCGACAGCGTGAGAGTCCATCTCAAAAATAAATAAATAAATAAAAGTTTAAAAATTTAAAAAACCACTTAGGTTAAGGAAGTAGTCCATCCTTCCGAGTGGAAGGAATAGAATGTTCAAATGTCCCAAGGTAGGAAAAAACTTGGCTTGGAGGGTTAGGGAGAGGACCAGAATTCCAATAAAGCAGCCCTCCTCCTTCCTGTCCCAATTTCTCTCTGCTGGCACTAGAAAAGTCTCTGAGGACCAGACCGTTTGGGACAGGGGAGAGAGTTTTGGCAGCAGGTGACCACAGCAAAAATCTTTCTGATAAGTCCTTTGGTGGTTGAGTGGGAAAGTCCTGGGGTGGCCTTGCTGTAGTTGGTAGAGGCACCTGGACAGCCACTAAGTGGGTGGAGAAAATGTCAAAGAGGGTGAGCTTGGGAATTCTGGCTTTGTTTTTTGTGGGAAAGGGTAGGAGCCTTGCGCATAGATGGATGACTGCAGTTAGAGGGTGAGATGAGGGAGGGGTTCTTGCCCAGCCACACACAGAGCCAAGAGCATTGCCTCAGAGCCTAGAGCTCAGAACACCTCATGTTCCTCCACTCCAATTCCCTCTGGGATCTTTATTATCCAAAAAGTATTTCTTGAGCACCTGCTATGACCCCAGCCCTCTCCTGGATGCTGGGATCAATCAGGCCTGTTCCCTTTAAGGAGGGAGACCAGTTCTGATAGAAATGATTACTATATGGCTTAATTTTCATCTGTAACATGGGGACAATGTTAGAAGCTACGCCAAAGTGTTGGTGCATGGATAAAGTGCTTATCACAGTGCCTGAGAGGAGTAATGCTTGGTAGAGAGGACGTTCTGGAAAGGCTGGGCACCCGAAGGAGAAGGATGACTTAGCCAAGTGCCCCACTTCCATCTGCTCGCACCGCCGCCAGAGTGCTCCTTAAGGTGGTCTTCAAGAGCCTGCCCATCACCTCATCCCCCTCACTTCCTGCCTTCTCTCTTCCTGACTTCCTTTCAGTCCCGCTGCTTCTTGTATCCGGAATCCTCTTCCCTTGTTTATTCCTTAAGTTAATTCCTCCCCAAACTTCACACCACACCTCAAGTATGGTTTCCCCAGGGACGCTGTCCTGACCGCTGGGTTTTGTAGACCCTGCCACTTTCTCAATTTCTACCTATATCTTAGTGTCATGTTAGGATTGCTCTCTCTCTCTCCTGCACTGGGCTGTGAGTCCCAGGAAGCAGAGGCTGCCTCTGGTTTTGTGTACTGGAGGGTCCCGCCAAATACTTGGCTTTTCTATTGGGCACCCTTGAAATATTTGTTGAACGAATGAATGGGGTGCAAGAAAGGCTCGGATAATACGGGTTATTTACGGAGCATACAACTGTGCACAGGGCACTGCGCTAAGCTCTTTGTTCGAATCATTTTATTCAGTCTCCCCAATCACCCTCTGAGGGAGGTGGAACGATTTTCCTCCTGTCACAGACAACGAGAGTGAAGGTGTGGGAGGTTAAGTAACTTACACAAGGTCACTCGCCGGTTAGTGCAGGGGCGGGAGTAGGGACCCACACCTAGGTCCCTCTGACACCAAAGTGGCAAGGGGGTGGGGAGGAGAGTCCAGGCTGGGACTGGGCGCACTGGAGCGGGCGAAGCATCCCTAGGAGGGGGCGGGAGGCCTCCCCTGCCCAGCTCTGAGCCGGTGGTGCAGCGCCCGCCCCCGGTCGCGGGCGCAGACTGGCGGCCGCCTCCGGGCCACGTGGTGCGCGCGGCGGGCGCGTCCGAGGAGCCTGCGGCTGCTCCGGGCTCATAGAGCTCCGGGCGAGGAGAGCGGGCGGACGCCGGAGGCTGGGCTGGTGTGGGCGGTGAGGCAGGCGGAGGAGGCGCAGAGACAGCGGGGCGACCCGGGCGCGGCAGCTGGCGGCGTCGGGGCTGCGGCCTCTGCCTTCGCGCGCCCCTCGCGCCGGGTCCCCGCGCCCAGGGCGCACAGTAGAGAGGGACGCGGCGTGGCCGGCCGGCAGCCATGGAACCAGCCCCATCTGCAGGCGCGGAGCTGCAGCCCACGCTCCTCGCCAACGCCTCGGACACCTACCCCAGCGCTTTCCCCAGCGCTGGCGCCAATGCGTCGGGGCCACCGGGCGAGCGGAGTGCCTCGTCCCTCGCCCTGGCAATCGCCATCACCGCGCTCTACTCGGCTGTGTGCGCCGTGGGGCTGCTGGGCAACTTGCTCGTCATGTTTGGCATCGTCCGGTGAGTCCGCTGCGGGCCGGCGCCGCAGCGCTGGGGCCCGGGGTGAGGGTGGGGATCACGGACTTGGGACCCCAAGCACGGACCCCAGATTCCCCGCGCCTCCGCACTTCCTGGAGGAGCACCTGGGGCCCAGCAAGAGGCGAGGCCACTTACACCGAGGGGGATACAGGAATGTGTATCATAGTGTTGTGTGTGTGTGTGTGTGTGTGTGTGGTGGAGGGGTGCACCCAGCTTGACTAAATTACATTTGATCATCTGTTGGCATCCCCTTGCTTGTTTGTGGGACAGTTTGGCGTCCGTTTATGTGTCTGTCACAGTTTGTGACTGGGTGGTTGTGACAGGACAGCTGTATGTTTGGACGTCGGAAACATGTCCATGGGGTGGGCAGAGCTGCTCTGAGGTGCCTCGGACTTTTGGGGAGATGGGTGTGGGGGCGCCGTGCAGGCAGGGCACACAGGAGGGTGCTGGGTGTTGGCACCTCGCCGTGGGGCCCTTACCAAGTCATTTTTGGTGATCATCTGTTAGGGTCCCTGGGTTGGTGTGTGCTCGTCCCTGTCAGTTTGTGATTCTATCTGAATGCAACAGTGCCACTGTTATTTCTTGTCAAACCCTGAAACCCCGAGGGCAGCAGAGCTTCCAGAGTGGCCGTGGTACCTGTGTTTGTGCAGCTGTGTGTGCCTTTGCCAGTGCGTCCTGGATACTATGGGCGGCGGCTGTGGGCCGCCACCACTTCTCTGTTCCCTTCCCCAGTGGCCACCTGGTCAGGAGCTCTGAAGAGGGTTCAGAGAAGCCTCGCGCCCTCCTCACAAACGCCCTCTCCCATTTTCTTGTTGCCTCCTTAGCAGTCTTCTGCCAAAGGCGGCAGTGGTTGGTCTGGGCTGGAGTGGATTTTGAGCTTTCACCCCAGGAAGTGAGGTGCTTTTCTTGGAGTTTATGGAGAGAGCCGGGACCTTCTCAAAGAGTCTAAGACATCAGCTTGCCCCAGAAGTAGCCCCTCTGATACAGCCCCACAAGCCCAGACATGGCCAATAAGGGTTGAGAGGAAAACTTTCATCCTTAAAACAACACAGATGCCCTCGTATTTACTCTTAGTTGAAAATGGGTCCTGCATGCTCCTGCACCGAGGACATGGCCCTAAACCTTTCTGGGCTTTGGTGCCACCATGCAGGGTGTAGCTCAGGCCGTGGACTCAGAGGCTGGAGAGATGAACTATAGTCTCAGCCCAATCATGGCTGCCCAGGCAGTATTCTTCCTGTCCCTCCTCCCATCCGCCTCAGTTTCCCTGTCCGAAGAATAGAGACCCAGTCTCCTCAATTGGAAAATATGAATTCCAGGGTATGGGGTGTCTGTGGGGCAGAACGTGGTGTGTTGGAGCATGGGATGAGGTGTGTGGGTGTCAGTGGGCTTCGGCATTGATGATCTCTGGGGGATCTTTGCTCCTCCAGAAAGAATGTCGGGTACAGGAATTTCCTGTGCTTTCCATGACTCATCACCAGCAACAGTGGGAGCCTTCCCCCCAGCATATGCAGGACTGATCTTGGCTTTGTGTCTTTGTCAGTGATTCTCCCCACTTCGCAAGCTTAGAGGCAGGCCAGTCCTAGCATTAATCCCTGCTCTGCCAGGAACTGGCTGTGTGACTTGCATGAATCATTTAGCATCTCTGAGCCTCAGTTTCTTCATCTGTAGAATGAAATAAGGGGAAATCTTCTCCCACAGGGTTGCTGTGAGGTGTCAGTGAGAGCACATACCGCAGCTAGCCTGGCGCCTGCACCCAGTGAATGGACGCTGTCTATATAGTGAGGAGGAGGGATTTCTACATCCTGTGGAATCTGACTAAAGAGGGGAGCTTGAGGGAGGCGTTTGTCCTAAGGTGGGCCTGAGAGGAGCTGTGATTCTGAGATCTCCGGGTTCCTGGCACCCGCCCTGTCTAGGGGAGCTCCAGGTACCCAAGTCTGGGAAAAGCCGAGCAGCAGTGTGTTCAGTCTCATTTCCAAACATTTCCCCAGGGCCTCTGGCTGGTGGGCTGACTCAGCACAGCTTCCCCACTACCACTGAGCAAGGGGAGGGACTCCCACTGCTGAGAGTCCACTGTGGGGGGCTCTGGGCTCAGCCTGCTAGGGGCATTCCCACACAGCCTTCCAGGAATCGCATTGCCCAGTGTATGCAAACAGCTTAGCAGGCCCCTTGGGGTCCCCACGTTGCTAAGACATTGCGCTGGTCAACCATTTATGTGAAAACTGTATCTCAGGGTCTGAATGATTGAATCCTCACCTTCAGTCCTGTGGGGCAAACATTAGAATCATCACCAGCACCTGCACATAAAATGAGGGATCTGTGGCTCAGAGAGAGGCAAGGTGAGTTGCTCTCGGAGGGTACCCCAGCTGGGAGCAGGCCCAGAGCTAGAACCCCAGTCTGTGACTTAACTCTAGAACTTTTCACCAGAGTTGCCTGGGGTAGAGGACAGTCAAAGCATTGTCTGGAAGGAGGGTGGCAGAATCCTGTCCCTCCTCTTTTGAGACAGGCTCTCTCTGTTGCCTAGGCTGGAGCGTCATGATCACAGCTCACTGTAGCCTCAACCTCCTGGGCTTAATGTGGTTCTCCCACCGCAGGTTCCTGGGTAGCTGTGACTACGGGCACATGCCATGCTAACTTTTGTATTTTTCGTAGAGACGGGGTTTTGCCATGTTGCCTAGGCTGGTGTCAAACTTCTGAGCTCAAGTGATCCACCCGCCTCAGCCTCTCAAAGTGCTAGGATTACAGGCAGAGCCATCGTGCCTGGCTCTGTCCCTCCTCTGGTCCTAGAATCCTCAGAGAACAGAGACCTGGGGACTGTGCTCCTCCGCATTACTCAGCCTGGGCATTTTAAGCTGCTATCCTTTGGGGAGGGGGAATGATGAGGGCTGGCGTTTAGACCTTCCCCAGTGAACAGTGAACGAGAGGCTGAGGTCAGGGCAGCTGCCTGGGTCTTGGCTTCTGCTGGAAGAGTCCCAAGGGCAGTGGGGAGAGGGCAGCCCGGGCTGGAGAAAAATCCCTGCTCCCCTGAAGGGCTCCCCGAGCTGCCCTCCATCTGCGGTTTCCTGGGAGCCAAGCAGGGCCTGCCACAACCAGCACATGAGTTGGTTGCTGGGTTGAGTGAATGAGTGATTGAATGAGTGAATTCTGCCAGCCAGTCCTGAGCTTAGGCAGCTTGTTGTGGGGTGGGGGATGGGGACAAGGGACGGTGTGCAAGGGAAGATTCAGAGACCCTTGGGGAAGGAAGCAGGGTGGTAGAGTGGGCAGAGCTGTGGCTCTGGAGCCAGACATATCTGAGTTCAAAGCCACTTACTTGCTGTGTACTCGGGCTAGTGACGAGCTGTCTGAAGCTCTTCTCATTGAAGTGGGAACACCGACGGCGCCTCCAGGGTGGGGGTGAGGATTAAGTGGTATAATGTGTGATATATGAGCCTTTTAGACCCTAAGCCCTTTGAGAACAAGGAGGGGCTCTGTGAAGAACTGAAAATAATTAACTCATTCTACAACATTCTACACACTGTGTGCTAAATGCCGAGAAAACAGTGCACTGTGCTCCGGAGGAGCTGTGGCCAGGAAGCAGGCCGCTGGTGAGGGCCTGAACGGAAGAACCAGGAACCTCAGAATTCCAGGACAGAAGCACCCTTTGTCCCGCAGGCTCCAAACTCTGGCCTCTCTCCCTTCCAAGGAGCCGCCTGAGGTGTGAGAGGGGCCTCTGGGAATTGCGCTTTTAGCAAACAGCCTGTGGCTCCGGGGAATGAGGCTTTTATGAAGTGGGAGTGGGATTTCTGTGGACAGGTGGTCCCACTGCCTCCTCCTGCGTGTGGGATTGGTCAGCATGTTGCCTCGGGCTGTCCATGGGGATGCCCCGGTCCTCAGAGCAGATGCCGGACAACTCCTCTTTCTGGGCTGCTGGGCTGCCATCTTGGAGACTTCCCACAGGCATCCCACTGGGTAGGTGAGGTGTGATGGGCTTAGCAGGCCCCTCACCTGTGGCAGGGGACCCATTCCTCCTCCTGTCTGGCCCAGAGCTTCCTTGGTGGCCCAACCCAGAACCTGAGCAAGAGCAGTCAGTGCTTTTCTACCTGGCCTCCTGTCTGTTCCACAGCCTTCCCTGCCTCCCTGCCTCCTCTGTGCCCTGAGCCTGGTTTCAGCAGGTTTGTACCCTTGCTGCACCCCCCTGCTTCCTGTCAGCCCGGCCAGCCTCCAAGAGACGACTTCAGCCTGTGTGCTTCTCTGCCCTGTGATCTCACCTCAGCCCATGTCTCTTCTGATTTTTCTCCTTGTATCAAATGCTGGCTCTGCCACCTCCTAAGAGCTTTAGCAAGCAGGATCGCCTCTGCTCGTCTGTCTTCATCGGGAAGATGTGGGTAATAGCACTGTCCTCCGGATTGGATGAGATGATGTTGGCAAAGCACCTCGTTTTCCCTCCTATCCGAGGTGACTGCAGCACCCGCAGGGAGGGGAGTTGGGCCGGGCAGGCAGGGTCGGGACGGGTGAATGAAGGGTGCTGATTGTCTCTTCTGTCTCCCTTAGAGGTTCCAGAGGCTGCTGGGGAAAATGCTGAAGTGTCTTCTTAGCAGAATTTGTAGCACTGAATCCCTGTCCTGTTTTTGGAAGCCCTTTCGCTTCTTGTCTCCCTCCCCTCTCTTGGGGTCAGGACCCAGGGCCCCGGGGCCAGGAGTGATTCCAGTGAGATGGCACAGTGCAGTGGTAAAGGCTGTGGCTAGAGGTCAGGGAGTGCCTGGTCTCTATTCATGTCCCAGAGGTGTGACTTTGGGTAAAAGCAGCTTAACTTCCCTGAGCCTCTTTTTTTTTTGATATGGAGCCCAGGCTGGAATACAGTGGTGCCATCTCAGCTTACTGCAACCTCTGCCTTCTGGGTTCAAGTGATTCTCATGCCTCAGCCTCCCCAGTAGCTAAGATTACAGGTGCACGCCACCACGCCCAGCTAGTTTTTGTGTTTTTAGTAGAGACAGGGTTTCGCCATG